GGTGGTCCTCAGATATCTTGTTATATGAAGATGATGAGATTCTTATGGGTTTCTTACAGAGCTACATTCTTGCAGTCACTGGACTTGTCTTTCCAAAAAGTGTTGGCCTTGAGCCCCATGGTCAGGCTATGTTGTAAAAACACCAGAATGTCCTTTGCTTCAGCTGACTTTGCCTTGATGTGTATCCCATATAACCCTGATATCTCATCAGATTATACATATACATGATTTTGAATTTCCTCTAAAATGCTGGGAAGATGTTAATCACTTTCTTAGGAGTAGCTGTAGTTACTTCCTCTCAGCTTCCCAGCTGATGGGTTAGGCAGCACTGTATACTGGTTCATGAGAGATCCCTGGTGGGTGGGTGTGCGTGCTGCAAGCTTGAGAGGAGGTTACAGTTATATCTGTTGGAGAACTAAGACTTGAGAGTTAACAAGAAGGTGACTTTAATCACTTTGGTCTGTTCCTTCACCATCATCTTTACCACCTTTATTCTCAGAAGCTTGGGGGTAGGGGACAAAAGGCATAAAGAAAGCCCTTTAGCTCACTTCTGAGATAAGGGGATCACTGCCTCTGCTTTTGAATGTCTCTTCCTAATGTTTTACCTCTTTTGGTTTTCTAACTGGACTTGGATGCAAATAGGTTAATCAATAGGATTTCAACCTGTCCTGTGATGCACTGAAAGGCTAGGTAATCTAGACTGCAATCCTTTGTTTCTAAGTGTGTCTTGCTGAGCCAGCTGACTCACTCGCTTCTTGGTGTAGAACCCTGAAGAATAGAGTGAGAGTTTCTATTCAAGACATGAACAAAGCTACTTCTCTAAGCAGTGCTGAATGTTTTCTCCCTTCTTATCAGTTACATACAGACCATGATTCTCAAGAGTCATCTGCTGGAAATGGAGATGTGCGTTAGATGGTCCTTAGCATGAGACAGGTTATATTCCATGTCACCTTGTGTGGCCATGAGTATCCCATACATGGAGTCTGTTGGAATCTGTTTTGCTGGCCAGCTTCTTTCGGCCTGACATCAGGTAGTTGTTAAATAATATTAAGAATGAATTCACCAAGGGATACTAGTTCTGGATCTGGACCAAGATCTTTATATACGGATTTGCTGGCTGGCAGTGAAGCAAGAATTGTTCTGGGTTATCCACGTATGAAACCAACAACCCCAGAAGCTCAGTCAGAAACTCTAATCTTAGGAGAGATATGCTAATGTTTGGCAAATCAGACACTATCTTCTGCCATCTCCCTTCTGAAATAAAGATTGTGCTGGATGATAACTTAGATGCTGGAGTTTTGTGAAGGCTGTAATTGGCCCTTACATTTGTTTGCTCAAAGCCATGTTTCTGAAGGCTTTTAGCAATGGCTACTGGACTCTGTGTAATATGAGAATGTCATTCAGACATCCCTTTCACATGAAGGGAGGGATGATATACCATTTGAGTAGAAGTCCAAAAAGGGAATACTTTGTATTGAAAATGCCTCTTGTTGGGGCAGAAGCTAACACTAAGCCGTGCTGATTAGGCCTCAACTGGAGTACTGTGTCTGGTTCTCGGCACCAGATTTCAGGAAAGATGTGGACAAATTGAAGAGAGTCCAGAGAAGAGCGACAAAAATGATTAAAGGCCTAGAAAACATGACCTATGGGGGAAGAGTGAAAAAAATGGGTTTGTTTAGTCTGGAAAGGAGAAGACTGAGAGGGGACATGATAACAGTTTTCAAGTATGTAAAAGGTTTTTACGAGGGAGAAAAATTGTTTTTCTTAACCTCTGAGGATAGGACAAAAAGCAATGGGCTTAAATTGCAGCAAGGGAGGTTTAGGTTGGACATTAGGAAAAACTTCCTGTCAGCGTGGTTAAGCACTGGAATAAATTGCCTAGGGAGGTTGTGGAATCTCCATCACTGGAGATTTTTAAGAGCAGGTTAGACAAACACCTGTCAGGAATGGGCTAGATAATGCTTAGTCCTGCCATGAGTGCAAGGGACTGGACTAGATGACCTCTTGACATCCCCTTCCAGTCCTATGATTCTATATTTCTTAGTAATTCTCCCTGATCATATCTTCGGTAGATTTCTAGGGACTTATTTTCATATTCTGAAGACTTGGAAAGAAAATTCTTTAATGATGGATTTCAGTATTTCTACTGGGAATACTGATTTCCTTATGGATTTGTTGAGGGACCTGAGATCTGAAGCGGGCTGCATGCTATTGTTTCTCTTTGAACCACAGAGAATCTTGTGTCCTTTCCAAAATCTCTTTCTCTCCACAGAACTCATACTTCATCTTCTGATTACCTCAAGCCCCCATTTTCTGATGTGGTTCACTCCCAGATGACAGCCTTAGCTGAAACGCCCCAATAGAGGGGGGGAAATCTCCCAAGACATGGGACACTCAAAATCAAAGATGTTTTTGGAGTTGGACAGTTTTTGAGAGAGTCCAGCCTAGATCTTCCAAGCCTCAGGAAAGGTAGCAATGGCTTCCTCCTAATGTGTAATCTCTATAGTAGAACCTGGTTAAGAGCAGTGGCTACAAAGGGAATACTTGCTGAGATAAGGAAGTTTTAAGATTCTCTCACTGGAAGGAGGGGGAGGCTTTTTCCTTACTGACTGCTTTGAGAGTCTCTCCTATGAGTCTACCAACAAAATATTTAGAAGGACACCAGATGTTAGCCTGCAAGTCTATTTTCTTCAAGTGGAGCCATAGTTGCCCCCAGGATCTATTTTTATGAGATCTGACTACACAGCAAATCAGAGTCAGGTGACGCACCAGTCCTGAAAACCCTGCTGGGGAAACCTGTATATACTCGATCATAAGCCTGTTCGTTTATAAGCCGCTGGTGGGCCAAGATGGTTTGTTTATCTCGAGCATCCGCAGGCACAGAGGTAAACCTAAGTAAACAAAGTGTCCCGGCACGCCAGCTGCTTACCCTGACGGGCCGGAACAGCAACTGGTGGGGAAATTTTTTGGGGGGGAGAAGCTGGGAGTCAGAGGAGTAACCCCTGTGACCACACCCCCCCCACGTGACTCCACCCCTAGCCCGGGACCCCCACACACTCCCCATCCCATCCCTTCCCACCTTATCTGGAGAGGGCCAGGGGAGGATGTCTCTGGCCTGGCTGGAGCTACTCCAGCAGGCCAGACCGGGTGGCACGGCTGCAGCATGTTCCAGCGGGCTGGGCGGCGCGGCCACAGCCTGCTCTGGGGGGTGGGGCCGAGCAGCATGGCTGTAGCCTGCCAGCCCCGGAGCTGCAGCTGCTTCGGAGGCTGGGGGGAGAGCAGCGTGGCTAGAAACGGAGAGAGACTGGCCCCGCTGCCTCTCCTTGCTCCCTCTGTTGGGGGGAGGGGCTTTGTCCCAGAGAGAGAGAGAGAGAGAGAGAGAGAGAGAGAGAGAGAGAGAGAGTGTGTGTGTGTGTATGTAAGTCTTGAATGGGAATTCTCACTCCACCTTAATTAGTCTTGCATGAACCAGGTAACGAAGAATTACACAGCTTTCCCCAACTTTACCCTTTTTTCCCCCTAGTGTTTCATTTTCTAAAAACATAGCTGTGAAGTTAGACTCCCTCCTCCTCTAATTCGTGCTGAATTCTGGGAAGCTTAATTGAAAGTCTGAGGTATCTTGCTCAAAACCCCTGTTTCAGAGAGCTCTCCTTTTCTTGAGACTAGAGAATCTAGAGGGGATACACTCTCCTGAGAGATTTTAAGAGTATGTGCTACCCCATTAAGAGCTGATTATGAGCAATATCCTTCACTAGTCCCTGTGTCAAACCCCTGAGAGAAAGAGGGAAGAGTCCTGTGAGGGAGAGCGCATTACCGAGGAAACTGAAAAGACAGTCTACAGGCATGTATCCTGCATGTCGCCCTACGGAAAACAGTAGATACTTTATGACCTCCTATGGGATCCCTGGAGGCTGGAAGGGGAAAGGATGTAGGTCCATCACACAAGGAAGGGGATCTGAATCACACCAAACCATGCTCCCTGCTGCTGGATCCAGGCTGAACTAACTGCATAGAATGAGGAATGAGACAGAGCCACTGGAGACAAGTGATTCACTGGTATCAGTGAGGTCTCAGGCACTGGAACCTTTCATGGCAGCTAAAGCCTTGCAGGTAAAGCAGCTTATGGAAAAGGGGATGCTTTGTCATCATCTCAGCACAGATCTTGCCTACATGCTGGCTGGATTTGCTTCCTGCCTCTGCAGGCTGAGAGAAAAGGGGCCCATGGCTTACGGGAGAGGTAGGAGGGCTTTAAAGAATGCTCAATTCCATGCCACTAATTCTCGCCTGGTTTCACTGAAGAGAACTTTCATGCAGCCTTGCTCAACTGTCTCAGCATGAATTTCTCTCTCAAGATAGCTGGGAATCAGGTTTTTTCCTGTGGCCTGATATCACTAGGGGAAAGGGAGCCTAAATGCTGTCCTTCAGATCCTCTTCAGAAAGCCACTTTTTTTTTTAGTTCTGCAGTTTTGAGGAGAAAAACTCCAAATCAATGAAGAAACTGACATTTTATTTAAAAATCTTTTAAAAATCCTATGAAAGCTCTGACACAAAGAGTCCTTCCGTCTGCTGTGCACCCCTTGGAGGCAGAAAATTCTGGAGAGTTCTTCCAGAGGCCTGGTCTTAAGCCTCGGCTCAGAGCAAAGCTCTGTTCTGCCTCCAGCTGATGTGAACAGAGGGAGGGCCACTGCTGTGAAGACTGGCGAATAAGCTCTACCAGTAAAAGTCACCTAGAGGGTTTTACAGCATAACTATTTCAATGAAAACATCACACGCCCAATCAAAATAGTTGTAAGGCATTGATTTCAGTTGGACTTAAGCATATGTATAAGTGCTTTGCTGAACCAAAGCCCTACTGTTGCTGATTATCTGCTGGCACTCAGTAAGTTTTTCATATTTTAGCACATAATTTTTCTTATCTTTCCTAACTTTGAGTATCATCTTTTATTGGCTAACATTATACATCATCACTAGACATAGCTGATCCAAATAAAATCACATACTTATGAAAAGAAGTTAATCTCTTCAAAGTGGAAAGCACATTGTATATATCATCATCATCAGCTTCTTCTCCCTGAAAATGAAAGCATATTCATTAAGGTCTCATCAATACAAATAAGCTTCTCTCTTTGCATGGTGAGGACGACGAATAGTTATACAGAGTCTTATGTTGACATTTGAACTGGCTCATGATGACACAATCACTATTTTGTGCCTAGACTCTTGATTTCAATGAAAAATAATAATAATGGACGTTTTAAGTAACCATTGGGTAGTACTAAGAAATCAGCAAGACTTGTCTGACTGCATTAAGCAACTCACACAACAACCTCTGACAGTAGTACAGTAAAAGCTGTTTTATCCAGCAATTCACCAGTTGGAAAGCTCTATAAACCAGCATTTCTGATCTTCATTGAAAGTCCGGTTTATAATCGTGTTGGCATGGCGCTGGCACAGATTTCGGGTGCGGAAGGGGGTACGGAGTGTGGGCTCTGGGGTGTCCCAACCCCCAGCCCTGCACCCCCTCCTACACCCAAACTCCCTCCCGCTCAGTTAACCGGCATTTTTCACTTACTGGCACCCCCCCATTCCTCCAACATGCCAGATAAAACAGCTCTTACTGTAGTCATTTCCCAAGGAAAAAACCTGAGGCATGGGTTTCAAACTCATTCTGTAAAAAGGATTGAACTGTGTTTTAATTATAGTCTGAGAGCTGGGGCTAGAAGAAGAGAGTCAATGAAATCCTCAATTCATAGCAGAGACTCCACTGATGCAACAGGAGTTTACATAGACTTTCTAATGGCAGACTTTCTAATTTAGTTCAGGTCCTTATCCTGCCCCCATCACCATAGTAACAGAGTGCCTTACAGAGCTGAATGCATTAAACTAGTGGTTCTCAAGCTTTTTTTCATTTGTGGACTCCTAAAAAATTTCCAATGGAGGTGCAGACCTCTTTGGAAATTTTGAATGGCAGTGTGGACCCCTTTGGAAATCTATTGTCTGTACATACAGCTGACTTCTGTTCAGTGTCCAGTAGTGGTCGTGCATGCACCCTGAATGCCCTTAAACCCCGCTTCCCCCAAGGGCATAAAAGGCACAGCAACCCCAACCACCAGTCAGTTCCTTTACTGCCCAGAATCCTCATTTATAAGACTCTGAGCTGTGGGGACAGAGGGCAGGTCATGGGATCCACATGCAGAACATCCCGAAGAATCATAGTTACTATCAGATAAGTAACCATTCTTTCTTATTTGAGTTACTGCACACGTGAATCATACTTATGGTAATTAGTTGTCATCTTTAAGAAGTGGGAAGCTAGTAGTTATGTGAAAAGAAATTTTAAAATAGTTCTTCCAAAACTGGCATCATATCTTGAAGTGGTGACTAACTAATAATGTTTCACAAACATATGAGCTGACGGCCAGGTAGTTGCGTCACATACTTCCAATTCTGGAACCCAACTTAAGCATACTATTGATGCAGCCTGCACTCTTGTGGAGTGAGTTTAGATATTTGGTGGAGGACTCATTAATATCATAAGCAGTTTAAATACAATCCGATACCCATTTTGTAAGTGTCTGAGATGAAACAGCCATCCCTTTTCATTTATTACCATAAGTAATGAAAAGTCTTGATGTTTTATGTAAAGAGCCATAACAGCGACCTTTTCACATCTGAAGTATATAATTTAGATTCAACAGGTGAAAAATGAAGTGTTGGAAAAAACCTGATGAATGAATTGATATGAAAATCCCATAGTACTTTAGGAATAAAAGATGGACATGTTACTGGTTACTCTATTCATGTGTAAAACCGTACAGAGGATTTATCATTAGGGCTTGTAATTTGCTTATTCTATGAGCAGATGTAACTGCCACCAGGAATGGCCTTCATTGACAGTGGATAAATTGGACAATCTGATAAAGGTTCAAAGGAGGGGAGGGTTCATATGTGAAGAAAGCACTAAATTCAAGTCCCATGTAGGAGAAATTTTTCTCACAGAAGGAAAAATGTGGACAAACCATTTCATAAATCTATTCACTGATAGATGAGAGAAAATTGTATCTCCCTATACTGGAGGACGAAATGCAGATATTGTTGCCAAATGGACTTTGACTGACGAAACATATTTTAAAGTTCTGAGTGCTTTAAAAATAAGAGGTAATCTAACATTATTGGAATAGAATATTGACATGGAGAGTAACCTGTAGACTTTGCCAATAAAGAAAAACGTTTCCATTTGGTAGTGTAGATAGTCCTAGTGGATAATTTCCTACTCTGAAGAAGAATGCTCTGCACCTCTGAAGAACACTCCATGTCTACTGTAGACATCCAGCTATCATCCAGGTTATGAGATGCAGAGAGACTGAGTCTGCCCTTGGGGAAGAGGGTCATGAGGGCATGCAGGGTGCATGTGCAACCCCACTAGTCACTGCTAATGAAACTGTTCCGAATTCCTGTGCTGGGGCACACGAACACTATGAGTAGGATCGACATGTGCAGTAATTCAAAGAAAAAAAAAAGGGAGATTTAGTAACTGGTATCAACTAGATCTCTGAAACAGGTGTTAAGTTTTTCCATACTTTGTACACTTAACATCCAAAACCTGAAGTTATAAATAGATATCTGAGAAGTGTGAAACTATCTCAGTACTCAGTGGATGATGCGGCAGCTCTTGATAGGCAAATTGCTGCAGGGGAAGTTGAAGTGTAATTAAGAATTTAAAGTCCAATAAAGCTCTAGATCCTGAGGAGATTGCTGGGGAATATTATAGAGCTCTAAGGTAAGTGTTGATCCCTATTTTAACTGAATTGTTAGTGCAGGGAATGAATTTCCAGATTCATGGAAAGAGGCATGGTTATTTCTAAAGAGGGAAAAATTCTTACCAGTTATGCATCATGTAGACATATTTCTTTAATTACTGTGGCTGCTAAAGGTAATGATAAGGTGCTAGCAAACAGACAGTGTTATCTTGCTCAAATATGTTCACCCTGACCAATCTGGGTTGCTTCTGGCAGCACATCTATCTGACAACATCAAAAACACTCTGAATATGATCTATAATGTTAATTCTAGCAATTCTTCCTATGTGCTGCTTTCTTTGGATGCTGACAAAACCTTTGACCAGCTGGAGTAGGAGTACCTCAGACAGATTTTGGTAAGGTTTGGTTTTGGAAGCCAGTTTTATAGGGGCATATCAGCCTTATATGTTCATCTTCTAATGTATGCGTTGATTAATGGTCATCAATCCTCTAATTTTAATTTGTCTAGGCATTGCCCACTATCCTCTCTGTTGTTTGCTTTGGCAATGGAGCCATATGCAATAAATGTGAGAAATAGTCCCTTTGTAAAGGGTATCAAAACATCTGCTGGATTAGATCACAAAATAGCTTTTTTGCTGATGATGTCTTGCTGTATTTGCAGGAGCCAGAATCCTCGTTAAAAATGATAGAACAATAGACTTGGGAATCTGGGCAGGTATCAAGGTTTCAAAATAAACTATGATAAATCTGAGAGACAAGGTGAGTGAGGTAATATTTTTTAATGGACCAACTTCTGTTGCTGAGAGAAACAAGTTTCGGGCTTATGCATAACTACTCTTCAGTTCTGGGAAGCTTACTCAGTGTCACAGCTAAAATACAAGATGGCACAGATTGTTTAGCATAAGTAGTTAAACACATATTGATATATGTCCTCAATTTGTGTACTTCTTAAAGAAATTGTTTCATAAATTACTGTACAGATGACATTTGACTCCAGTTAGGATCCATCAAAAGTTTTATAACTAGGGAAGCACTTAGTTGAAGGGGTTGCAGGGAAAGTGGAATGTACTTGCACATTTGGTGACTGTGTCCAGGACACAGACAGTTTTGGGTGGAAATTATTAAAAAGATTCATTTTAGGACTAAATGCTGGCTTCCTAGAGATACTCTGATCTGCTTACTTAAAGCTACAGTAAAAAAATCTATATTTTAAACAGAAAGGCAAATTACTTCATTTTTTATTGTTAGTAACTTGACTTTGTATTGCACATTATTGGAAAAAATGTGATTCCCCCTCCTCCAATGGCATTTAGGTAGAGTAAAATATGGATTGTCCTTGTAATGGAAAAACTCTCTCACCAAGCACGTACACAAGAGAAGTGACAAAAATAGGACAGATATTTAGAATTTTTTGGTCACCCTTTCTAGCATATTCAGGAGAAGGCAGCTCTTCAGCCAGCAAGCCAGAATGTTTAGCCAAGTTTCTTAAATATTAACCTGATCCTGAATAAATAATATATGATATAGTATGTTCATTTTCTATTGTAACTTTGCCTTAATAAAAAGTTTCAAAAACCACCAAACCTCAGGGGATCTTCTAGAAGGACTAATAATGGCTCCACAGTAAGGATTGGAGCTGGGTTTTACCTTTGGCAGGACATTAAAACCATTCTAGAACTGAAACAAAGGCTTGATGTAAAAAAACAAAACTTGGAAAGTACTCCTAAAGGGTCCTGAATATTTTGGTGGTGTTCTAGTATCTAGCAAATGTTCCTAGAAAAATAAAGAGTCAAAATTTCATTTTACAGAAATTTTGTATGATGTGTGGAAATTATGTACCTCTTTTGTTTAAAAACTATAGCATCCAGTAACTTCAAACTTTACAGAACTACAAGCTCTTCTCTGAACTACAAGCCTTTTTTCTGAAATCTTTTGGCCCATCTCTTCAAAAATTGACAATTTTTACTTAACTAGAAAGAAACATCAGAATGAGGCTGCTGAATTTCAGCAATATTGACATAGCCTCACTAGCTAGGAAGGTGCTAAGAGAGAGAGAGAGAGCTCTCCATCAAAGTATGCTTTGGCCTAGAAGCCACAAAGACCAAGAGTTCAAGTCTCAGTGCTTGCACTGACTGGTGTTAATATTCTTGTATGCTTCACAGCCCTTATTATTGAGTAAGGTGTAAGGAGGCAAGAGTACACGTCACTTTTGAAAATGGAAAAAATGGTTACTCACCTTCTTGTAACTGTTGTTCTTCGAGATGTGTTGTTCATGTCCATTCCAACCAGGTGTGTGCGTGCCGCGTGCACG